CATATTAAACATCCTATAATAAATATAAAGTCATTATTAATAGGTGTACTTTAAAAAAAGACAATGATTACACATCAGGAAACTAAAAATGTTTTATATTTTTTAACATCCAACTTATCAAAAATATTTTTACATTTTTAAATGGAGGGAGTACTTTGCAATTTGAAGATTTGGATGAGATCAAATAAGCTCGAAAACCTAAGCTGTTAAGGTCATGTTTGGTTACATAGACTACTTTATAAAATTAATGAAAATTTATGTACTGATTTAAGGATATTAAAAACTCTTAGATAAAAAAATTTATGAAATTTTTGCACTTCATGTTTGCTTCTTCTTTTTTTAACTGTTAATATTGACAGAGGTTAGTCACAGTTCGGGCACTTTTGCATTCGCTTTATCAATATTAGGGATACTTTTACACCCATATTTATTTAAGAATATTAAATACTCATAAATGAAAAGTTTGTGATTATTTTTATCCTTTAACTTAAAATAATATTAGGTAAAGTTATCTTTTTTGCCTAGATGTGATTTTTTGTTTGGGTAGGCATATATAAGAAGTACATTTAGAAATTAATTTTCTTAGTAATCTTATCTTATCTTATCTGTATCTATAGTAAAATATAAAAACATTTACTGTTCATGTAACGGTGAATTTAACAGTGCCATGGGACCTACAATTGCTTTTTTTTTAAAAAAAATTCAATTGTTTCTTTATCCTTACCATTTTTTTTATTTAATCTCGTGCAGGGCATGGGCATTTTTAAGTGTAAGAGTGAAAATTAAAACCCCTTTAATCATATTCTTATATAATAAGAATTGAAATTTACTCCATCCACTCAAATCACCCTGTTGATAGGTGTGATAATGTTTAAATCCATATAAGCTTATAACACTTTATGTTAATGAATTTGTTTTCGTTAAAAAATAATATAGCAATATAAATTATTACTCCAATATCACTTTTGGTAGAGCACCATCATGGGGCCTAGATTCCTCAAATTAATATTCAATGTAAGGGTTCTAGACTTGTGTTGTCCTTGCATCTTTCTAGTTAGTCAGTAAAGCAAGCTGGTAACATAATCATTTCTCGGTTCTCTCTTGTTTTTTTGGTTGAAATGCTTCGTGATTCCTTTTATTTCATGCTCTGAGCCTTTTCTAACTATAAAGTAAAAAAAAAAAAAACTTTTAACCATTGTGCACTTTATTCAAATGTTCCTTTTAAACACTTCTCTCTTTCTGTGTTTTTTTATGTCTAAATTGTCAGTGAAATTAATTATCATATTGGTCTTTAATGATAAACTTTAGTACTATTGATTCCGTTCTAATAAAACGGTTCATTTTCCATCACTTCAATTTTTTTAAAAAATTGATGGCATAAACAAAGTCTCAAATCAAGAAAGAAGAATAATAATAATTTATTGTTAGGGAATAAGAAACCAAAAACAGTAATAAAAGAAAATAGTTAATTGGTACCGACGAGGATGAGTTCAGGACCTTGAAAAGAACTTGATCAATCAGTGCGGAAAGATGTCCATATTTGGTATTTGATCATATCTTAAAAATAATTATTACTCTCTTCAGTAGTTAGTGTACGATATTTTCAACCATATTAAAAAAATTAATTTTTTTATATCATAAGAAAAATAAAGTATACTTTTGTTTTTATCTTCAACTTTAAATAATGATATAACTATATTAAATACTTTTATACTAATCAAAAAAGGATAAAATTAAAAAATAATTTAATTATTACATAATATCTTACGTGTTAAACCAAAATTATTTAGAAAATATCTTACCAATATGATTAGAGGTAGGGGTGAGCAAAACCGAATCGAAACCAAAAATCGAATCGAATTTTGTCTATTTGATTCGATCTATTTGATTTTTCGGTTCAATTTAATTTTTTATTTTAAATATTTCGGTTGATCGGTTTGATTCGGTTAGCAAAATTTAAAATCGAATAGACCGAATCGACTGAATTATATATAATTTATTAATTTATAAATTATATTTAATTTATAAATTATTTTATTTTTATTTTTATTTTTTATTTTAATAAAGAATAAAAAATAATAACATCATTTGAAACCCCATTTCAATCAGTCACTCTCATCAGTAGGTGTTGTGACTAGATTATGAGGCCATTATTTGATCATCGGTGTTTATTTGTGGTTGTTTATTTGATTATCCATGCGTTTATAATATTTGGTCTTTATATCATATGAGTGTAATTAAAATGGGCTCATATTGAAAAAAATGAATAGAAAAAAAGGCACAATTTTGTAGTATTATTTGTTTTAATATTTAAAAAATGGGCCCAATTTTAATAGCTAAATACGAAATCGAAAAATTGAATTAACCAATCGAACCGAATTATCAAATTTCGATTCGGTCGTTGTTCGATTCGATTGGCTTATTCGATTCAATTCGATTTTCATTTTTAATGTTATTCGATCGATCGATTTTGCATATTTTGGGACCGAACTGAACCGACTGATGCTCACCCCTAATCAGAGGGAGTACTTTCAATAGAAGGGAATCTACATTTGGTGCTCATCGAATGCTCATCAAGCATGGGCTAGTCTTGGCATTTCATTCCTCTATTAAACAATATCTGTCATTGATTTAAGTTAATTTTTAGGTCATTTTAATATTATATTTATTAATATAAAAATTGCAAAAAAAAAAAACTAATGTTCAACGTGGATTGTCTTCAATTCTCATCACCATAGTACTTATAACTTCTTTTGAATCATTCAAATTCAAAATTTTTTATTTTACATTTATTGAAATAAAAATTTATAAAAAAATATAAATTTTTTTAATACATATATTTATTACCAATCTGGCCATTACAAATTTAATTTGGAGAGTTCAATTTAACATTAAAATTTGAATGTATTCTGAATAGTTTAAATATAATTTGGATAACTTAATTTAATATTAAAAAATTTATAATTTTTATAAATTGATTATTTAAATGTGATTTGCATAGTTTAAATTTAATATTAAAATTTTTATAATTTTTATATTAATAACTAAAATATTAAAATTACTTAAAAATGAATTTAAATAAATTATAAATATCATTTCAGAGTAGCATGAATGGCCAGGGTTGGCCAAAGCCTGATGGCTTATTTTTGTTCTGCGCCGAACAAGTTGAGAGAAGCAGATCTTGTCCCTCGCAACGACGATATCTTTCATTTAATTTTTAATATATAAATGAATTATTGCGGTTAATAAAACTTGCAAAAAAAGGAAAAAGAAAAGAAAAGAACCTAGCATATTATGAATGATTAATCATATTACGGTGATAAGTACCAAGAAGAATAAATGGAGTAATATCTAACTTTGGTTCAGGACAAGTTGCACAAAAGCAGAAATTAATTATACTCTCTCCGCCGAATGAGGAAGCTTGAGTTTGACAACATGCTTGTGGAAAAACATCAGGTACCATATTTTTTCTGACTTCATTGTGAAATCACAAGCTGGTCTTCTCTGATTCAATTTTGAGATGCTTTTATTCTCATATCCTTAGCCATGTCCTTCCCTTGTCTCTACCCTCAAATTGTACTCCCACTTGCCCTATTTTCCTCTCACCCAACAAAAATTACAAAACCAATACATAAAATATCTCTCTCCATATATATGTTGAAGTTTATAAAATTCATTTAAACTAAAAACAGAAGCTGAGAAAATACTATAAATGTAAGGCTTTTCTTTTATTTACGCACATAATATATTATATAAAAATACTCCCTCTATTAAAAAAGGTAAGGTATTTTTTAAGAATTGGATGTTAAAAAATGTAAGATATTTTTAATCTTTCGAGATGTAATTATTATTTTTTTAAATATCCATATTAATAGTGACTTTATATTTATTATAAAGTGTTTAATAAAGGTAAATATAAAAAAATAGGATTAGTTTGAAAATAGGTAACTACTTTATTGAGGGTAAAATTTGGTTAAAAATACTTTATATTTTTAAACAGAGGGAGTAATTATTAAAAAATATTACTTTTAAATATGATATAGTAGGAGTACTTTTTAAAAGTTGATAATTTTTTTAAAATATATTTAAATTAAAAAACTAGAAAATCTTGTCAATTTATAGGATTAAGAATGGTTGAAAAATTAAAAATAAAATAAGGTTTCCACGAATGAAAAAAAGAAGAAGGAAATAATGTAGTGCAAGATATTAGATTCTCTTGGCACTTTAATTTGGCTCTCCCGAAAAGGTACCTCGTCAAGAAAGCAAAATGGACGGATTAAATAAAAGATTTGAGCTTAAAAATTGAAATTTAGGGGATTATAATATTAATTTATTATAAATATTATACAAATATTAATGAAAACTCCGAATTAAGAATGTTTTATTAATAATAAATTACTCAAATATTCACACACACACATATTTGAATCATTTATGATTCAAACAAAAAATAATACAATATTGTATTAATTTTAAAAATAAATAAAAGATCCACATAATTTCAAAAAATTAAAAGACTTATAAATTATTAAATTTTTTTTATTGCTCATATATATTTTTTTGTTGAAGGCAATCATGACCAAGATAAAGTAAACTAAATATGGATACCTTATTTTTCAGTAAAAATTTGAATCTTGATTTATTATATCGTGACAAGCTAGCCCCTAGCCCACTGCTAAATCCAATCCTGTTATTCATTATTAAATTTCTTGACTATTGATATTAATTTTAAAACATAAGTTTGCAATATGAATATTTTAATTTTAAAGATCCTCACTTATAATTGTAATATAATAACATCAAAAATAAAAAATAATAAGTTGTATTATTCTAAAATATAAAATTATTATTAATATTAATATTAATAATAAATATAATTATTCTAAACCTTGTATAATGCATGTGAGGAGGGGGAAGGGACCAAGATAATAATTTGAGAGTACAGTGATAAGCAGATTCGCTCCCTGGCCTCCCTCCTTAAGTACCCTTCTCCTTCACACTTCACAGCACCTTCCATTCCTCTCTCATACCAACTCAACCTGCCTTGAAGCCTGCCTCTCTCTCCCCACACAATGGCTACAATGGCTATTCTCTGCATTGCTACATTGTTCTCTCTTTTCGCTGCCGCCACTGCTCGAATCCCCGGAGTTTACACCGGCGGTCCATGGCTCAGTGCTCATGCCACTTTCTATGGCGGCAGCGACGCCTCTGGAACTATGGGTACTTACTTACCCTCGCCGTTCCCTTCTTTAATGTTGCATCTACAATATCTGGATTCACTCTCTTTTACCATGAATTTGAGATCAATTCCCTTCGTGACAGAGGTTTCCCCAATGTTCTTCAAGCAATTTACTCAACGAGCGTCGTTAATTTTGGTTTGTTGATTTCAGGTGGTGCTTGTGGTTACGGGAATCTGTACAGCCAGGGCTACGGAGTGAACACGGCGGCTCTGAGCACGGCTCTGTTCAACAATGGCCTGAGCTGTGGTGCGTGCTTCGAGATCAAGTGCGTCCAGGACCAGAAATGGTGCAACCCTGGAAGTCCTTCCATTATCGTCACCGCCACCAATTTCTGCCCTCCCAACTTCGCTCTTCCCAACGACAATGGCGGATGGTGTAACCCTCCTCGATCGCACTTCGATCTCGCCATGCCTGTCTTCCTCAAGATCGCTCAATACCGCGCCGGGATCGTCCCCGTCAGTTACCGCCGGTAAGTTGACTGTTTCAATTTTTGGTTGATTTTGCAGTATCGTCTGTTTTTCACCAGGTTTTGTTGCCCTGTTTGGATACTCTTAATATAATGCTATACTCTGTCTGTGTGTGTATTACAATATTCTGTTTGGATACTCAGGAACGAGAGCGAACCATCTCTTCGCTCCCTTAAGTTTGCTTTTATTTTAAAGTGGTTTAAACCAATCTCATAATTTATTATGATAATCAGAACACTCTGTTTTATGACTAGATTTGAAAAACTGACCAGTGAAATATGCAGTGTTCAACTATTCATTGACTCATGATTATAGTTCTTTTGGTTCTGTGTATTGTACAGAGTTGTTCTTTCCGCTGACTATTAAACAAGTCAAAAAGTGAATCTCTGATTCCGCCACCGTATCTCCTGCATAATGAAACCTTCATCTACAGTTTTCCTCTTCTAATTTCAAGACCGAAGAAGCATACCAAACGGAACGATAGCAAAAGATGTTGAAAATCTTGCTCATTTTCTTTCAAGTGTTTTATTCGGAAACAAACAGCTGCTTAGACAGACCCATTCAAGGTTTCGTCATTTTGCCCAAACAGAGCCAGCCAAAAGACTGAAAGCCCCTCCTTAGACTCTTTTTCTGCCCATCACCGCCTCAAATGACCATAATAACCTCAAGCTGCAACAGCTAACAAGTAGTAACAGCCCACCAGGAGATCACCCATCGTTCCAACACGTAAATTTGGTTCTTTGGACAATTGAACTCTAAGGGCATATTAGTAAAATATATCACATACAAAATTTTCAACGGACAATCACAGTTCTAGTAAAATTTATTCATTTGTTTATTTACAGGGTGGCATGCAGAAAGAGAGGGGGAATCAGATTCACGATCAACGGTTTCCGTTACTTCAACTTGGTACTGATCACCAACGTGGGGGGTGCAGGGGATATCGTGCGCGCGAGCATCAAAGGATCTAAAACAAACTGGATGAGCATGACTCGTAACTGGGGGCAAAATTGGCAATCCAACGCCGATTTGGGTGGGCAGGCTCTTTCCTTTAGAGTCACCGGCAGTGATAGGCGCACCTCCACTTCCTGGATCGTGGCACCACCTAATTGGCAGTTCGGCCAAACCTTCATGGGCAAGAATTTCCGTGTCTAGCTATGCACTCGTCCATCTTTTCTTCCATCGTTCTTATGTAATTTTGACTTGTTTGGTTCAGTTTCCCATCCTCAACTTTCCATCATTTTCCCGGGAAAGTTTGAGGTAGGTTAGTACTTAGTGGTATCAACAGAAGAGAGAGAATGGGTAGTTAGAAAAAAGAGTGAAAGTGACGTTTATGGTTATGTGAGTTTTATTGTTTATTATTATTATTTTTGTTTGGGTGGGGACTGAAGCGGAATTGGTCAAAAAGTGTCAGTAAAGTGTGATGGTTTGCTGGTTTGTATTAAAATGCCCAGCAATGTAATTTTACTTTTCCTGGGTCTGAAAGTGTGTAAGATGCTGAGGCGGCTGCAAGATTTTGCATGTAGCCCGCAACTCTAATTAATGATTTATATATAATAATATATTTAAGTTTTAATTCAGTTGTTTTATTTTCTTTCAATTCCCTAATTTGATTTTGGCATATATATCCAAGGAATGAAGCCTCCATTTGTGCGGTTGGTAATTGAGAATCTATTTGTTTTCTGCTTGGAAGTGCATGTAGCTCATGTGACACATGGTAGGGTTAATCTTCATCTCCATATAACATGAGATTATCCGACATATCGATGAGCACCTTTTTTTTATTCTAACAAATAATACAAAATTACAAATGTGATTTCTTAAGACTTTCTATATTATATATAAATAGGTTAAAAGATAAATTTACTTTTAGACTAAAGGTTTATGAGCATTTGAACTTATAAGCTCGTTTTTTTTGTTACAATTTTTTTAATATTTAAAAACAATGCAATATTATCTTTATTATTAATAAAAATTAATTTTGATAGTTAGTTAATTAGAAAATTATAAAAAATGATGTTAAAAATTATAAAAAAGAACCAAAATAATTACAGAAAAAACCCAAAGTACCATAAAAGAAAATTGATGAATAAGGGTACTTGTATTCCCAAAGCATTTGCTCCTTAAACACTTAGTATTTACAATCAAATAAATTGAAATGGCTTACGTCTTTGATTATCATTAACCTGTACTTAATGTTCTTTGAATTTGGTATCGTGTGTGAAAAAAATCCTCTTAATTTTTAAATTTGTGTAAGTAAGAAAAATGATATGTTTTAAGAATGATCTGCAATGGCCTAAAATTTGGAAAATTATAGACATAGGAGTATAACTTAATTAATTAGTTTATGAGATGATGAGTATAAATTAATTAGTTCATGAGATGATGAGTATGAAATAAAAAAATTAGAAGAATTTGTTGTTAATCAATATTTGAATGTGGTGCATGTTTGAATTGGCCTTGTTTGTTACTTGTTAGCTTTTGGTAAAGCGGAAAGATAAAAGTAAAAAAGAATCGTGTGAATGGTATTGTGACGGTTAAAGTTTAAAGGAATACAAGGAAGGGAAGTTGCGACACACCTTCCTCGATCTTCCTTTCTTTTCTTTAATTTGCCCCAAAAAAATTATGATATATTCCTATGGTTTCATTCTGTGCACCCCTAGCAAACTTCAATTTTCTTCCTACCCCCATTTTTTAAATACAAATATTCTCTATGATATTTTACATGAATCATTTCTAATTACCTTAATAGAACTAAAAAAATAGTTAAATTATTGATGTTGTTATAATATTTTTTTTAAATTTTTTCTTATTAAATACATCAAGTTTTAAAATACTTTCTCTCTCATATGTAACTTTTATTTTACTTATAAAAATTGTAAAAGAGTAAAATTAAAAAAATAATTAATTATCTACCTTTTATGTAAAAAGACTTTTAAAAAAGTCTATTAATTTCTTCTAGAAAACGATTTATATATAAAACGGAAGAAAGTAATGAATTATTATTTCATTAAATTATTACTAAGTAAATATTTTATTTTGTATAAAAGATTAAAGATGTATAACCGGAGGAACGATTATCTTAGAAGCCATATTGTAAGAAGGGTTCTCCAATTTATCCCTTACACAAAAGTCTATAATTGGTTAAAGCCTAATACGGATAATTATCTCTCTCTTTACATGTATAATATAATTGCACACTCCCTCTATTCACTATTATATTCAATTTTGAGACAATGTCCCAAATTTGCTTAGCAATTGCTGCCTCATTCCACACATAATTTTTTTTTATCACACACACACAGACACCAAGACTTCCATTTTTCTTTTGGCAAGAAAACTTTATCCCAACTCTCACAAGCCACGATTCTAACATTCTTCTTTTAACCCTAATGGAAAGCTCTGCAAACAAAAAGATTCAACCTTTCAAAATACTATTTGGTAGTATTCCTTTTTCTTTTGTATCAAGCTTAGGCTTGCCTTTGTAACCCAAAAAAAAAATAAAAATAATAAAAGACGTTGGCCTGGTAAATCTGCATTGAGAATAATACAGATAAGTTCCCCGATTTTTATTTTTAGAATATTTTTTAACCAGAAAAATTTAATTTAGATTTTTTTAAAATAAAAAAGATATAGAGAGTGAAAATATATAAGAGATTAATGTATTCTCTTTTAATTCACTTCTTTTATCGTCTGAATTTAATTTAAAATATTTGATATTTCTTAAAACGATTAAGTATTCAAGTTTTATGAATAGAAAAAATCATGCATATATCAGGAGAATTACCTTCGAAAATACTGTCTTTAGATTAGATATTATTGAATAACAAATAGTTGCACACTTGTACTTTAAAAAGCATTAATAGTTGCATTCTAAATATTACAATATTATTTTATAATAAATTAAAGTTCTAGAAAAGTGTCTGTTAAATTAATATTAGAATCCATCAGGGAAAAAAAAATAAAGAAATTAAACTTAAATGGTACGGATACAATTTAGGTGACTGAAGCTTCGTTGAAATGCAATTTCTTGTTGAATAAGTTAGAGCTTTATGGCCCCTAAAGGAGTTAAAAAGAAAAGAAAAGTTAGCTTTCCAAATATGTTTAAAGAAACCTTTAATAGTGACTTTCAATGTTACTTTCCGAGTATTAAAGAGTGACAATATGATGACACACACACTTTCATAGCAAGACATTTGGATTAATTAGTACATATACTATTAAATGTGAAAAAAATAGTTAAACAAAGTTTGGCCTTAAAAATTTTTGAGCTGACTCATCAGACCTGACCCCAAATATGTCTTTACCGAAGGAGAACGCAAGCTATGAAAGCTATCTTCCAGATATTTAGCTCACTTTTTTTTTTAACTTCGTATTTGTTACCTGATTAAAGAGACAACTTGGGATAGAGATTAGAGAAAAGAGACAACTACCAGACAAGAGAAAAGAAAAAGAACATTCAAAACTGGGGATGTGTGGCTATCGTGTCCATGAGACTCAACTCAACTCAACATTCAGACCATGACTCAGTTGGTATAAAAATATCTCACGTTCAATTAGAAGAATCTCTGGTAACTTTGATAGAGATGAATCGTAAGAGATTTTTTCTCAAATGGCTTGGACAAAAAGGGGCAAAAAATTTATTCTTGAGATGGCTTGATTTTTACAAAAGGAATTGGTCTCATGAAGGACGGTGCAATATAATTCTTGTTTCTGATGATAAGATATAGAAGATGCCGTGCGCAACACAAGGCATAAACCGTAAAAGAGGAAAACTCCGTTTGGTTTCCGAGAAAAAACTACATATAAGCAGGCATTTATGCCTTTCCTATCTTATCTCTAAAGCCAAAAAAACTTTAGTTCAATCAATATGAGCCAAAGAGGATCATCAACATTGGGTTTTTGACGACGTACGTGATCGAAGTAGTGATTTGGTCAAACTGATCTTAAACGTATCTTCTTTTAACCTTTTCAGCTTTCTCTTTTAAAACTCAATTTATAAAGTCATATATCTCACAAGAGCCTCAAAAAGCTTTCATGCTTAGCTTCACCAAAATCAACAAGTAACCTTTATTTTAACCTTCTTTTTTTGAGTAATCACAAGAAATAGAATCCGTTAATGGCAAAAATTATCTCCCCTGATATATTTTGAGAGAAAGATAGACATTTTTCAACTAAATTGCTATATATATCAAGATTGAAATTTAAATTCCTAATCACTTATTTAAATGACTAGAATTCTTACAACTCACATCAATTTTAGTTGGTTATAGTCCTTAACCTTTTGTTCATCTGAGAGGGGCATCAATCAATGAAAAAAAAAAAATCCAAGAAAATAGTGTAAAGGTTAAATTAGTAATATTTTAATGCTTTAACTCTTCTTTTCCGCGTTTCAACTGGATTTTTTAACTTGAGAAAAAGTTTGGGAATAAAAACTTTCGAGCTTCTATTCATCTTCTAGTGTTTTCCCCACAATGAATTCCATTTTTTTCTGGCTCCTTCACTATCAAAAAAAAAAAAATTAGGGGACAAGATTTTCAATTTTTTTTTCTTTTAAATGTAGGGGATAAGATTCGCTCAAAGATATAGTATTGGGCTACATGTCATTGTATTTCATCATATGGCACGATATGTGGATTGGACTCAAAGACTGATGGCCCATAGGATATTTTAGGTACGGGCCATGTGTGCGTTAGTAACATGGGCTTTTCTAAAGTATTCAATTAACCTATTTTATTATTTTTTAATAATAAGGGAGAAAACAACATGAAGCCAAAACAACTACCTTGTTTATACTCTCATTATTTAGTAATACTTATATAATTTTTATTGTAGAAAATATAATTTTTAATTTAGTTTCTCAACTTTGACTTAGAATAACTAAGTTCTTGTTTGATAAAAGATTTTGAAGGTTGGAATTGGAATTAAAATAGAGAAGGCCCATTTTCACGTGTTTGATACGAGTTTAAGAGCAACGCTTGAATACTACTTTCATGTATGGGTCTCCTGCTAGATTGAATTGGCCTGAACTAAAACAAACCAAAATCAATGAAAAGAAGGTCTGTTTTTTTTTTTTTTGAATTTTTTTATATTTTTATGATTTATTATATTTATCTCTTAATTACTTTTACTCTTTTTATTATGATATAACAAAACCAAATGAGGGTTGTCCAAATCAGAAATTAGACGTTGCTGTTATTGATGCTTAACATGGGCAAAAGAAAGTTCTACCTTTTACTTTCGTGAACATTTGGCCCAAACAAACAGGTTCCAAGTCCAAACTTGAAGATGCATTCAAGCTGCTTGAGAAAATGGATCTGCGACTTCTTCAGATATCAGAAACGATCAGAGACAAAGAAGTGAAAAGAATGACAATTTAATGGAAAGATTGAAAGAACAATGGTTTCAGTAATTAATCTTAATATTCTGTATGTGTGTTTTCTGCATATATATTGCAGTTTCGTCGTGAAAAGGTGCTTTCTATGTCGTGAGTTCTTGGGGGAAAAAAAAAAAATCTGACCTTTACAGACTCAATCTAAGTACTCAAGGGAAAAAGGACTCGGTCTCACTGACTCGCTTGTATATGGCGCTTGATTATTTTTCTCTTCCATAACCTTACGCATCAGAAGAAAAGCTTGAAAAACATGTAAGAACAAAATCCAAACTAATCTAGATTATATTCTCTCTTGATTATCCAGATTGGTGTATATCATGTCCGGAATTAATGGTTGCAGAGGTTGAACTTCCGGATTCAGCATAAGACCAAAAACTTGGCCCAGGAGAAGCAAATGTACAGGGAGATGAATGTGAGCCAGAGGAATGATGCTTCGACTTCACTTATGGCAGATCTTAGTGACGCTGTAATCTACATAATCTACCTGACAGCTTTTCTTTTAAACAGATTATAAAACTGTCCATAGTGTATTGACTTCATTTTTATATGATCTATCTATTAATGCCCGTTCGTTTTTGTCATCTGCGTTTTCATGAAATAACTATATATAGTTGTGGACGATCCCGAGAACATATAAATGCTGCTATATATCAGCCTACAAACAGAAGAAATATGACAGACTAGTTGAAGAAATCAAACACTTTCAAGTGACGAGGAAGATCTCAGAAGGGTCAAGGAAGACGATGAGAAACTTAGTCAAGGTAGATTACGTAATGCTCATTTAATTTGTTTTTCGAGAAATTAAGTTTGTTTTAGACAGTTTTCTTGTAAGTTCTAATGAATGTAATCTGGCTGATACATTCATGGTTTTTTTGACTGGTGATATGCGATGATTTGACGGATATGGGAAAGAAAAAGAGAGAATTTGAGATCAAAGTTGAAGTGTTTGAGAAAGAATTAGAGGGCATAAATGAAGAAATATGGTCATCTCAGGAGCAGTTAAAAGACAAGCATCACAGGAAAGTAGCTTCTCTCTTGATTCATGAGCGTCAGGAAATTCTTGAATGGTGGTGCCTCAGACATGGCAACTTGAAACATGGTTCCATTGACTCGAATATTATCAATGCGGATGTACAAATGGAAAGGCATGTTTATACTGGGCAAGAACCTTGTTTGAATAATGTTCATGGTTTTTATATGTGAGGGAATTAAGGATCTCAAGTACGAATTTGGATCCTCCTTTGTTAAATGCTTTCTCTGACTTTTTTATAAGCTCTTGTTAACTACTTTTATGAAATTAAAAAAATTATTAAAATTATTTTATATTTGAATAGCTAAAAGGTAGCATTGTATTGTTTGCACATGTCTGAAATGTATATGATCCATTATTTAATGACTGCATGATATTAAACTCAACTTGTGTTAGTTGGTCAGATTAGTGAACCGCTCCTTTGACCGATTTAGTCAATAGTTTTTAACGAGTCAATAGATTATATATATATATATATATATATATTATTTTGTTGAGTTTGAAACAACATCATTTTTTGGCCCAAAAAAAAAAACGACATAATTTTTTCTTATAACAAGAAAGAATATCATTTTCAGTTAATCATAACTGGGTTGACCTTGGTTCAATCATGATTTGGACTGTTGACCCTTGAACCAATACCTCTATTAACGATAGGTCTAAATTTCAGTACTTTGAATGTCCATGAGAGAGACTTGATTCAACGTTGTCATGTTTTCCTATATTGTACAAGCGTTTGAACAAAACTCTGCTATAAGGCATTAAACCTAGCTCTAACATCTGATTTATCTGATTTCGAATAAGAGAGAACAATAAAAATTTTCACTGAAAACTATTAGTTTCCTTCTTATAATTAATTATACGTTGGTTCCATTAATTGTCGTTTGTAGAATCACCAAGTAAATTGCTGTCTGTCCAAAAGCCTTGCCTGATGTTTAGTTGAATTAATTTATTAAAAAAAAAAGGAGTGCCCCCCCTCTTTTTTTTTGGTTGATAAAACTGAGATATCATATCAGGAGGTATCAAATGAAAACGAATTGAGGAAATCGATAGTATTTGTATAGGATTCAATAACATAGATAAATGAATCAAAAAGAAAAGGAATCGAGTCAGAATTTTATCAAACTTGGATGGTGTAGAGTCTTTCCAACCATCCACATGAGAATAAACTATTAAAGCCTCTATATTAAAGTGCACAGTAAATGCACTAAAAGAGGAAGAGAGATTTAAAGAATGAAAATGACTTATCGTTTTAGCTTCTGGCTTAAGTCTTTATTTATAGGTTCAGGAACTTCTCATCAAAAAAGGAAGACCTAATTAGACGTTGTTTCCTCATTATGAAGGGAATAATCTGATTAGGATCATTGCCATTAATGTGAGGATAACTGCTTCATTAGTTGTGATATCAATTAGGATATTAACACGATTTAATCTTGATTTGGGTTAGCTCATAATGACCCGAATATTCTGCAATAAGTATCATAGTGGCTGTAATATTCTTACAATTTGAAATAATTTCTACCAAACCAAATTAAGAATACATATCAAATATTTATTATTTTCAATGTTTTTTTAATAATAAATGCACTTTAAGGGTAACTTATGCATTAAGGGGGATTTAATATTTTATTATTTTTACAGATTATCTTATTTATGCACATGCGAAGCATCCTTTAATCCCCCATACAGTGTTTTACAAGGTGGATAAAGAAATACTTTTTCCCTCCATTTTTTTTGGCCAACACTACTACATTTTTTATAGAAGCCAAAGCTGACTTTTTTTGGCGTGGGGTGCAAGATCTTGAATTAATTAATTTAATCACTTAGAAGCACCATTTTTTCATTTTATCTAACGGCATCAATGCTAGCTTTCATTGACTCTTCCCTCATCTCTAACCCAATCTCTTCAAAATTTATTGATCTCTCACATTTAATTTGATTATCACACACACACCCTTGCAAAGCCAGGCTGCTGCAAGTTGGTTTCCAGAATGTCAATGGGAAGAGAAGAAACTCGTTTAGTACGGAACACGTCATCAGCGGCAGAAAGTGAAGCTGAAACAAAAACATGTGATAAGATCATGTTACTGTTGAACACAGGAAGTCCAGGAGAAAGTCCTGCGATATTTTTTTGTCAAAATTTCGCCACGAGATGCTCTGGATGCTAAGTCCATCATTCAAGATGCAGGCAGGCTGTTTGATGAAATGGATCAGCGACTTTTTCTGATATCTGAAAACCTCAGAGAAAAAGTGGAAAGTTGAAACTAAGGAGTAAGAATGACGTTTTTAACTTACTTTTTGATAATTAGATCCCAGATATGCACTAACGAAAACATCATTAATAAAGTTGTCAACAGTCTTATTGTATGGTTGTTTTCTGGCAAATGCAGATCCATCGTGAAGAGGTGATTTCAATACTGGAAAATCTGAAAAACTATTGCCTTTACAGACTCAATCAAAGAATTAATGGACAAAAGGACTCATTGACTCACCTGTACATTGAACTCGACAATATGTCTTTTCCAAAGTGTTGCTCATCGCAAGAAAAGCTTACAAAACATGTAAGTACGGAAACCAAGCTAAGTTAGTGTATATTTTGTAAATGTCAAGAAGAATGAACCAAACCTACTTGTTCATTTCTAGCAACAATTAGTCTGGTTTGAAAATTATCATTCTAATTCATATAATTGAAAAGCTCTGGTTTTGTACTAAATTTAATTTCTTCTTTGTGATCTTTCCTGTTTTAATTTGATGGGAGCAGAAGTTGAATTTCCGGATGCAGCATAAGACCAAAAATTTGGCCCCGGAAAAGAAATTGTTCAGAGAGATAAATGTGATCCAGGAAAGGAATGATGGTTCAACTTCAATGGAAGGGCTTAATGACATTCTACGTTATTGTTTTATTAAGTTGTTAATCAATTGAGCTCTCATTATCTTGTTTCCATAAAACAATTGTAGTAATGATGGCAGATACAGTGGAAGTATCAGCATTATCATCATCACTACAATCAAAAGAGTGAAAAATTAGTTGATGAGGAAATCAAACAACTTGAAGAGACAAGGAAAATCTCAAAAGGCTCAAGGGAAACAGTGAGAAACCAAGTCAAGGTGGAATATTATTTTCAAGTAATTTTCAAAGTCGTGTGAAAAAAAAAAAAATGCAGTCTTGTTGATATCTTGTTTGCTTCTGATAGGTCATTTGTGATGAGTTGGTGGAAATGAGTGAGGAAAAGAGGGGACTTGAGGCCAAAATCAAAGTGGCCGAGAAAGAATTAGAGGCCATAAATGAAGAGATATAGTCATACCAGAAGCACTTGAGAGTTAAGCACCACAGAAAGGAGGCTTCTCTTTTTTATGTCAAGAACACAGAAATCAGTAACTGTTGGGTCTTCAAATTTTGCACCTTGGGAACGATTCTATTCACTTGAATACAATCTATGTAGAAAATTTAGAAAAGGCGATAAGTACTTTTAGTGCTAGGTTTCCCGGTTGAAATGTAAATCACGATATTGCTATAAATGCATGTATAATCTTTTAGATATTTTTGTATGCATCCCCAACCAAATTATACGATACTTGTCATATTTTATTAAAAAACATACATTGCTAAATGTAGCCGTGTAAAATATTCTTGGCAGAGAGCTTGCTGTTCAAAATAATCCCATAAGTGCTCAATTTGAATTAGTTTGCGCCTCATCAAATATCTCAAGCGAAAGCTATAAAGTATAAAAGCCCGAAAAACTGGATGCAATGCAGGGGGGGAAAAACATACATTAGTCATCGTATATTCCTTCCGGTCTCTGTTATAGAAGGATTCTCTTGTCTTTAATATAAAGCATTTGATGGTATATTAATTATATTTTTTTAATATTATTTCTATTTAAACATATTAACTATGAGAGATAATATAATGCAAATTTTAAAAAAAAATTCATTTAAATATAGATAAAGTTAGAAATTTATTTTATTTTCAAAAAAGTTAATAACTTAACAACCTCTTCTTGAATCTAGTGAGTTAATTAGAGGTGACAATGTGAAACTGCACAAAACCTAAGTGGAAATAAAGGGAAAGCATGAAATGTGCAAGGTAATTGCCAATATCATCCAATCAAAGTAAAAAGTGTAAACCAGAAATTAATTACCAGTGCGTGTATAATTTTATTTATGTAATATCGTCCATATCTCACATTAATACGCATTAGTACTGCGATTGGTTTCTATTTTTATCCAATTTTTTACCCCTTAAATTAATTAATTAATAGTTTATAAAAAATATTCATCGGGTCAAATACTAATATCATGCAAAAGATATATATGATATAGCAATGGGAGATATCTTGGATGCAGAGATTTGAGTGATTAATCGTAGGCCTTGGCCATCCATTAACAAAAACCTTAAGCCATTATTCTTAGCTATCCATTATATTTCGCTCTCATGTTTAATAAAGACCAGACCGTGATTTTAAATATATAACACACATAATGTAGGAAAAAAACATAATTCAAACTATTACATATATTGCAATGTTTTAAAAGCTGGACTGGATGTTGAATCAAAAAAGTTAGCAGTTCTCGATTGTTATGGTCTAACCAATAAGATCAGCGGTTAAACAAGTGATGTTATAATTAAATAAAAATAATATTAAATGTATATATAAAATAAATATAGGAAACAAATCTATAATATGCCTAGTTGTTAACAAAATGATTATAAATTATAATTTTATAACTTGTCAAATATAAATAAATTTAAATTAAATTAAATATAAGTAAATTTAAAAGTATATGCATTTGCACCTATAGCTATCAACATCTTTATAATAAAAATGGTATCAAATTATATTTTATACATGTGAATTATTCAAAAATAAAGTTGGCTTTTAGTAGGGTTTAATTTTTTGGATTTTTCTATTTTTTTAAATTTTGAAGCTTTTTTTAATATTATGTTTAAAGCTGTTTAGTTTTTTAAAAATCATTGTAATTCCTGATTCAAGTCATATTTTCGGTTTAATAGCTATTCAACTTCGATTCAATTTGGTTTAATCATGAAAACAGTTTTTGATCTAAACCGAGTCATTAGCGGCTCAGCTTGAAGGTCATACTGCTCAGGTTGGTTTGGTTTTTAAGCAATGATGTATTGACATTTTAATACATTTAGTATCCCACAATAACTCTTGAACAGAATTGCCTCCCACAACCTTGTTTGCAAATATCCAAACTTATCTTAAAGGATACAATTGGCCCTTCAATATGATATTTGAAAGCTGACTTGCCGTGGGGTGCAAGGCATGATTTATTGATGTAGTCAGTCCCTGGGACGCCCTTTCACCAACATCAGTGCAACCTCTCGTTGACTTTTCTGTATATATTCTCTTTACACTTACATACTAATCGATTCAACTCAAACTTGAAATATGTTAGTATACATATCAAGACCATCTGGCCGCTGCAGTACGATAATCTCAAGCATGTCTCTGAAACGAGAATCAGAAGAAAGTGATCATCCTGTGGTTATACAGAAGGAGGTCCAACGATTTTGTTTTGTCAAAATTTTGCCAAAACATGGTGTGGATGCCGAGTCCCTAGGTCAAGAAGCAGTCAGGCTTTTTGAGGAAAAGGACCTCCCACTTCTTCAGATATCTGAAACCATAAGAGAAAGAGTACTAGTAAGTGCAAAACACGATTTTCTTGTTTGATATAACATTCAGTTATGTACTGCCAAACGCATAATAGTATGGCCTCCGCAATCTTGTTATTATTTTTTAGGTTGTCAAGTGTGAGTAGATTGATCAACTAAAGAAATTAAGTTCCATGTTGGGTAAAATTCAACTTAATTTAATAAGGAATATTTGTTTCGTGGCAATTGCAGAATGATCGTGAAGATGCGGTTTCCAGATTGCAGCATCTGAAAAGAAAGAACCTTAACAGACTCAAAGAAAGAATTGGCAGGAAAAAGGATTCATTGATTCAATTGTTCATGGCACTGGACAATATGTCCTTTCCAAAGTGCTCATCGGAAGAGAAGCTTGAAAAGCACGTGAGTACAGAAAACATAAACTAATTAACAAAGACAATATACATATATCTCATGCCCATCATGTTGAGAAAACTGAATTGAATCAACATTTCTCATTGAGTTATTCTTATAGTACACGTTTGGTACTTGAAAAAAATATTTTTTAAAAAGAAAATGAAAAAAGTGTCTTGCTAGAAAAAAAAAAGGATAGGTGTGTATTTATTATTTTTTTTTACAAAAAAAAACTTTTCTACCAAACAAATATTGTGTTACTTTTATTTTATTTGTGTCATGTACTTCTGATGATTTAAACATGATTGGAAGCAGAAGTTGAATTTCCGGATGCAGCACAAGACCAAAAATTTGGCCCAAGAAAAGCAATTGTTCATCAGAGACATAAATTTGAGCCAGGAAAGGAATAATGCTTCAATCTCACCTGTACCGGAGCTTCAATTCATTGTAACTCACAAAATCCACTCTCTGTTTTTTTTTTTTTGGGTCAGATTGTTGTTTTTTAATTTATCGATTTTATTACCTTAATTAATTATGACTTATTAATGTCTTTGTCTTTTTCTTATACTGCTTATCAAATAATTCTGCAGCTGTCCGAATATTGTCATCATCACGACAACCGGAAGAAGTGTGACAAACGACTTGAAGAAATCAAACAATTTGAAGTGACAAGGACAATCTCAAAAGGCTTAAGGGAAACAGTGAAAAACCAAATCAAGGTAGATTTTATTTAGAGCTGATTTGTTCTTATTTTCTACGGAAAAAGAAAGCAGAAAGTCCCTCTGATTTTACATTATTCGCAAAGATTTCTTCCACTTTACAAAAATCATTAAGTTGATATGTTCTTAATTAATTTGGGTTTGATAGGTCGTATGTGATGAGCTAATGGAGATGAGAAAGAAAAAGAAGGGACTTGAGGCGAGAATCAAAGTTGCAGAGAAAGAATTAGACGCCATTAATGAAGAAATTTGGTCATTTCAGAATCACTTGAAAGACAAACACCACAGAAAAGAGGCTTCTCTGTTCTTTCTTAAGACGACGGAAATTGATAATGGTTGGGTCCTCAAATATGGCAGCCTGGACAATAATTCAATTCACTTCAATACAATCTTTGCAGAAAATGTCAATGGAGATATTAAAATTCTTTTCTCTGTTGGGTTTCCCTATTGAAATATAATAAGTCCATGTATGATTCTTAAATTAATATTATTATTTGTGTATGATATTTACAAATGATTAGATATGAGTCCAATATATTGCGTAAAAATTGAAATGAGCCTTACCAGTTTTTACTCAGGAATATTGTACGTAGCTTTACACACACACACACACACACACACACACACACACACACACACACACAGAGTTCGTATTATATGATAATTATCATTTTTTGAAAAAAGACATTTACATTATCACGTTTGATAAGACATCTTAATAACCAAATGGGTAAGATTTAATTACTTAACCTTATATAATTATACTTGCCATAGCTCCAGCATCTATTGTAGCTATGGACCAAACATAAGTCCTTCCACCGTGAGAAGAATCATCACCACCAGCAGCAGACGTCAGTTTAAGTCGTCTCCTTGCGCGCATTGTTGCCCACATACTCAATATCGTAAAGGCAATGAAGCCAAGAAACATTGTTACGCCTACAATCTATCTGCTAAATCTCTCGTCCTTCTTACTCGAATTCATTCATATATATGCAGCTGCAGAGTAAATTAGTTGACTTTTTGTGGCACGGTCTTCGTTCAAAAAGGCTGCCTGACTTTGACTTGCTAATCATCTGGAAAACCTAGTTATTAAATTTATGAACAACAGGCTATGTTTCATTGGTTACACAAAATTCTGGATTTAATAATTACTTTGGTTCAATGGAAACATGAAAAAAAGCCATGGTTTCCGGAGCAGATTTATTTTGAACGAGATTCCTCAGATTATTCTTTAAAGAATTCCGTACAGTCAAATGACGCCGTTGTTTTAAAAGGAAAATTCTAATCCGAGTACGTTAATTATAATCAAATTTCAAAATTTCCCCCAGCATCATTTTCACACGATGAATCATATTTAACTATTATTTTGAGGGGCATTTTAAAATATTTTATTTCTTTTATTATAATCCAAATCCATCAAACCAATGACAGCTAGCCACACAGATGCCATGAAGATGAACAACAAAATTGCGCATAGAACCATATTTAAAAGTACTTACAATACTTAAAAGTGTATGCATGTAGAATACATACATTAGAGAAGAAATTCAAAACCTCAAAGCTTCTTGCCTTCTTTAACATCCAATAACCAATTCATCTGTTTTTTTCACTTAGTGTCTGGAGTCACATTAGACTTTGACTAATTCAAATTGAGTTGAACCAGGCTCCAAACAACACTAGTTCACTTAAATGCGTCTTTTACATACATATGGACTAGAATCCGAGATATAATGCTTAAGTAGAATCTAGCACGCTTGTAAATTTTAACAAGTACTAAAACCACCCCCACTCCCTCCGTCCGAACCACCTGCACCTCCGCCTTTGCCGCCATCGCATGTGGAACTTTCGCCACCTAAGTTTGTGATAGGCCTATCATTCGTTGTCGCGATAGACCAAACATATGTCCTTCCACCATGAGAAAAAACACCTGCCCCAGCACTACTAGATGCCGGCTGATGATGAGGTTGTCTTCTTGCATGCCTTACTGACCATATTAAACAGGCACAGAAGCAACTAAAGACGCAAACAATTAGTGTTACAAAGACGATGATAGTTGCTTTCATTCCTGGATCCATCTCTATCTGCTATGTAAACCTCTCGTTGCTATATACTACATACATACATACACAAATATATACCTAGAGAAAGTTGACTTTTATGGCGTGGCCTACACGAGGGCTAGCTGACTTTAACATCTTGATCATGTGGAGAGCCTATTATAAATTACACCTGTATACTGAATATATGAACCAGGTTGTTTCATTGATTAAACAAATTCCGTATTAATCAATAGGGTTTTGTTTGGGTCAATGCGGAAATATGAAAGAGCCATGAATTCGAAGACAAATTTGTTTGGTACGCATAGATGTGATTCCTCGGCTTATTCTTTAAAGAAATCCCTTTAGTCAAATGATTCCATTGCTAAGAACATCATGGATCTACATAATCATCTGGAAAACCTATATTATTAAATTTATGAAAAACAGGGTGTTTCCATTGGTTACACAAAATTTCGCTTTTAATAATCACCATGGTTCAATTGAAACATGAAAAAACCATGTTTTCAGAGCAAATTTGATTTGAAAGAGATTGTTGAAAGCTTAATAAGGATATTAATGATTATTGACATAGTTAAATTGTAAATTAATAATCTCTTGACACTATTCAAACTTTCACGAGTGCAAACACAAGTTTTAATTACTTATTTTTTGCCACAATTATTAAATAACTGTTGTAATATTAGACTTAATGACAAATATGTGAATAAGTTAAAAAATGTAGCATTTATAGCCACAGTTTCATAAAGAATTGTCATCATGAATGCCCGAGTGACAATTAAAAAAAATTAAGTAAATTAATAAAAATAATTAATTCAAATACATTTTTAATTGAATTTTTAATTATGTGTGAATATAGAAAAAATTAATTCAGTCTAACTAAAACTTAATAAATTGACTAATTAAATTAAGTTATTAATTATAATTTTAATGTTTTCAAATTAAATTAAGTTATGTAATAAGTTTTGGCTGAGGGGTAAATCCCTCAGATATTAAAACAAAAATTAGCTAAGGGTAAATCCCTAAGCTATTAAAAATAATTTATTACATAACTTAAGGTAACATGTCTAAGGTGGACCTATCGACATAAGTTCAGCATTTTTTTTATACAAAAAAATTAGATAAGAGGTAAATCCCTTAGCTAATAAAAAAATTTATTATATAACTTGTAGTGGTAAGTCTGAGGTGAACCTATCACCATAAATTACCTAAAATTTAAAAATTTAGTTGTGAGTAAAAAAACCTTCAACTTTTGATTCACGGTGACAAGTCTCAAGAGAACCTGTTGCCATAAATACCCCTTAGCTTTTAAAAAAATAAAATTAGCTGAGGGATTTTTTCTCAACTAATTTAAGAAAAATTATTACATAACTTATGGCGACAGGTCTTACCTAAAATTTAAAAATCAAGTAATCACCTCGCTATATATTAAAAATTAGCTAATTTACGGTGACAAGTTCGAGTAAATGAAAAGTTGAGGTTTTAAAACCCTTAGCTGTTAGGTTGCGTAAAAAAATTTGTGAGCCTCCTCTCTTAGCCTTATTGTCACCACCCTCAGCTCTACTCTCTTTAGGATTTTTCCTTAGCTCATCATAAGCTCCCTTTACCCATAGCTCGATCCTTAAGCTCTTTGCCCTCAGCTCCTCCTTTCGATCTTGTCACTGCTGCCTCCTAGCTCCTTTACCTGCAACTCATCGGCTAAGCTTCCACTTCACCCTCAAGCTCGTTGCTCACAGCTCTTTTCTTGCCTCCTTTAGCTCATGTGTCTGGCTACTTTCACCTGTCCTCTTTTCGCTCCAGGATTTTATTATTTTTGTTTGGCAATTTTTTTTTTCATTTTTAGCTTTTTTTGCATATTTTACTTGAAATTTTTTCTATTCAATTTTTAAACTTCAATTTTATTTTTTCAAATTATAATTTTGTGTTTTTCTTTTTAATTAAAATTTAGTTAAACTTAATTACTAGTTATGATTCATTAGATTTAATTAGCTAAAATTAAATTGTTTTGTTATTGAAATTACTAAAGTATTAGAAATAAATACTTGAATTTATGGCTTTAGATCTTAAATATGTCATCATGGTGCCAATTTTTTTAAATTTCAAAACATAAATTATTTGATTAGAACATAATTTTTATTTGTCAATTGTATGGTTGATTATATTTGATAAGTAGATTATATTGTGCATTGAATTTAATTTATTGAAATTAGTAATTTATTGGACATCAATAGGCTGAATTGGAGGGTTTAGTGCCTAGAAAATCTCGTAAATGGCTCTTTATTCTCTTACGGATCCATTTTTTGTCACAAGTCAGTTTGGGTACTATAGCAAAATAGCATTTTTCACCATAGTTCCTTTATGAGCTATGGCAAAAAGTTTCCATTTATTATCACATAACGTTCTCCTACACATCATTTTCTATCGTGAAAAATGCCTTTTAACTATGATGAAAAATACCTTTTGCACTAGTGTTTGTGGTGTTTGGGAAGAAATTATTATTGAGAGGCAAAACTTTCGACCTCTGAAAAGTTTGAGATAATTGAGAACAATCTTATTTGTACATTTATGTATTAATTAATTATATTGTTTTGAAGAACCAAATTAGGATATGTGGAAACTATGTAATGCAAGCGTGACTTATTGCATTTAAAAATATGACTATGCTTTTAAATATATATATATATATATATGCAAAAGTGCAAGGGTGACTTAATTAATGTTTCAAATGATGTTTGGCAAAAATAATTTTGTTTGGTTTAGAACTTGAGTGAATGCATCATTGGGTATGATTATGTGAAAAGTGAATAATGCCATGGATAGAAATTCATTACTACAAAATAACTCTATGGGAGTACTTATTTTTGGCTTTCGAGAGCACTTCCAAAGCGCTCCTATATATAAGAAGCGCTCCTGTAGGGTGGACTATTATTGAGCGTGATCAAATGGTAATTGTCATCTTTTGGTACTTGGGAATAAAATTGGACACCTCAATTGTGTTTCAAGGGTTAAAAGGAGTGAGTTTGTAAATAGATGCCCAACTTTTTATTAGGAAATGATTTATGAGTGAAACTAATATCATTAGCTAGATCTCTAAATGAGTTTTTTGCAGACACCTAAATCACTTTAATTGGATGTTAGATGGAGAAATAGGATGCATCAAAAATTTTCCCCAATTGCTATCAGATGGCAACAACATTATTGTCAAATATGTGCAATACGCTATAACATATGGTGTAGAGAGAATTGTGGCATAGGGTGTAGGAGAAATGCCACAGCGCACTTCTATGTTTTGATGTGAAATGTTGTTTTTCCAATTTTAATGTAAATACTTTGATACAATTTGGTATTTTATGCTTATGTAAATATATTTTACTTTGATTTTAGTTTATAAAAGATATATTATATTATAATAGTTTTAAAAACTTGAAAATTTGGGATCCCATTTCAAATGCTTTTA